CCCCCGTTCCCCCAGCCTCAGGGATGCCCACCCCACCCCCACCCCTGACTCTGGGCACTTGAAGCAGGGATCTGGTATAGCTCCTTCCTTATGCTGTGTTTCAATCACCCGAGTCATTCTCTCTCTCTCTCACACACATATACATACACATGCGTGTGCACGTGTGCACGCGCGCACACACACACACACACACACACACACACACACACAAACTGTGACCCCAGAGAGAGCCAAGTCTGTCTAGATCTGTGTCCACTCCCCAGGTCTTCCTCAGTATCTGGTCTCGTTTGTCTGGTCAGTGTCCATGTGTTTGTGTGTCTCTCTCTTTTTGGTTTTCCTTTGGGTCAGAGTGGAATTAGGGGAGTAGAGTTGGGGAAGTAAGGGGGCTGGTACAGGATACTGGAGGGTTCTAGAATCATGGCTCCTGGAATATCTATCCTCCTGAGAGGTGGGGATATCAGACCCTCAGTGCCCTGGATTCCAGGTAGTATAGACCCTGGACTCTGATGCAGTATAGGCCCATGGGACAGTGGAGAGTGCACAAAACAGACTGGGGGAAGTCCAAGCTTCAGGCCTCCCAGGAGAAGCTTCAATTTAGGTGGAGAAGGCCAAAATGCTGGACTGCCTGAATTTCACTAAATGGGTCCCCTCCGCCCCATTGCCACCACCACCCTAGCCTCATGGCCACAGAGCTGTGAGCTTTGGTGACTTTTGTGTTTAATCTCCTTTGGACCAAACCCCTGAAAAAACACAACCCAAGAACAATACCCACATTTTCTGTTTCTCCCCCTTTCCCCCCCAATCCTGGCTGCTTAACTCCCCCCACCCTGGGGGCCCCCCCAGCCCAGGGCCCGTGTTCATTGTCGGCCGAAGCCCCCATCCCCGGACCCCTGCTCCGGGCCCCTGTAAGTTGCATGGAACGAGCGTGTTGTCTTTGGAGCCGATTGTTTGTTATTTGGGGAGGGGGCCGCGGAGGGAAGCGCCCCTCAGCCCAGGGTCAGGGCCGGGGGCAGCTCGCGGGATGTGCTTGGTCAACAGTGGTTGGTGACTGTGGTCTGTGTTCTGTGCCTTTCTCTCTTGCTTTCTTTGTTCCTTTCTGAAAAGGAATGAGAGCACTCTCTAGGGGCTGGGGGTCTCAGCCCTCAAGTCTGCAGCCCTAAGCCCAGCCCCAGGTCCTAGCCTGGCCACCTTGCTCTTCCTCCAGGTGTCTGTCTGTCTGCTGCCCCTTTTCCTCCTTTCTCTTAGCTATCTCTGCCTGCCTGCCTGTTGTCTCACTCCTTTGCTTTGTCCCCTCCAGTCCCTGTCACCATATCTTCCAGCCTTTGTTTCTCTCACGGGCTGTGTGAATATCTCCTTCTGCATATCCTTTGGTTTCTTATATCATGGGCCCTCTCCCTCCCGTCTCCTCCATCATTGCCCCTTGTCCAACAGCTGTGGGGCTCCGTCTGGACTGAGGCCTTTCGGATGACCTGTCTTCCCCAGGCGGCCCCATCCTATCCTGCGTCAGCCAGCCCAGCTACCTCTTCCCTGGCAGGGCCTATGACCTGCACTGGCTGTGTCTTCCCCACAGCTTCACCCATGTCTCCTTCCTTCACAGGTCTGGAGACACCAGAGGAAGGGGCACCACACCCCTCTCCCCACGTCTGGTCCCAGCCCTCTCTGCACACCTGCCCGGGTCTCGATGGGGCTCTGGGGCAAAAGCTGCTTCACAGCCCTGGGGGAACAGGACACTGGCCCACTCCCACCACCCCGCCCCTCCTGAAGGGCCTGTTTCCTCCCAGGTGCCCTTTTGGCCTTTGTGAGGGAGCAAGGGACAGGCTCAAAGGCTCCGGGGTATCTGCCTTCTGCTGGGGCTCCTGTGGTGACCTTCTGTACCCAGCTTTCACACTTGCCTCCCCCACCAGCGGGCCTGTGGCCCCCGGGAGGGCAGAGGGGCCTCCCACAAGCTCCCCACCTCACCCTCACCCCGGCCTCTTCCCCACATTAGGGGTTTCTCAGAAGCTGGTTCTCACACTCCCTGCCACCCTCAGCTAGAGGTAGGATATCCCTGAACCCTGGGCTCCCAGCCCTAAAACTCACTGCCTCCCCCATGGGCCCCCTCTAAGGAGGGTGTGGGGGAGCCCTGAGGGCTGCCTCTCCACCAGTCAGCCACAGAGACCCTCCTCCTTTCATGAGGAAAAGACCTCCCCCGAACCCCTAAAAATGTTTACAGTCTCTGCTGGTCCCCTCCGTGTAAATACCACTACCACCCGTGCGTTATCCAGCCCGGCCCGGCCCGGACGCTGCCATCTCTCTTTCTGGGAGTTTAGACAATGTTTCCCTTGGAGTTTTTCTCTCTCTTGATTTCTCCCTTTGCTTTGGGGGTAACTGGGTATTTGGGAGGAGGGGTGTGGGGAGGGTTACAGGGGTTTATTACCTGATCATTTTCTTTAGGAAGAGGTTTTAGGGGAAAGAAACGGGTGGGGGTGGGAGTGGTAAGGGGAGATTGGGGAGTCCGTTTCAGACACTTCTCTATGCTTAACTTATTTATTTATTGCATTTTACTTTTAAAGAGTTGGTCTTTTCTGTCTAAATAAAGAAAAAAGTTTAAAAGCATCAAATAAGAGTCTTGGAAAGTTGTGGGGAGGGGATTTTGCATACTGCGGAGGGGACGAAGGGAGGAGGTTTGGGAGAGAGACCTGTTAGGAGGGTCCAAGACCTTTGAGGGGTCCAGGCCTTGACCATGGCTTCATGATCCCATTCTTCCACCCTTCCTTGAGGCTTAATCCGGGAATGCTCTGCAGCACTAGGCACAGAGGGAAGAAAGCAGGTCAGCAGGCCTCTCTTGTATCCAGCCCTGTCCCTCTGAAGGCTGGGGACTTCAGTCTCATGTTCCTGACCTCCATTTCTCCCTTGTTGGTGGGGGTGAGCTGTCTCTGCACCTACCAGTGGGGATACAGGGAGCTAAGCTTTTGCTCTGTGATTCTGTTACAGGCCCTAAATGTACATTTCCTCATTTAACCTCCCAACAACTCTGTGAGGCGGGACACAATTTTATAGACAGGTTAAAAAGGGCTTGGGAGGGTAATTGACTTATCCATAATCACAAAGCTACCAAGGGGATGGCTGCAAGAAGGAAGCCCTATATGTCAGACTCCAAAGCCCATGATTCTCTCATCTAGCAGGCTCAACTACCTGGTCTTTGACCCGAGGCAATGATCCCAACAAGTACCAAGCAGGCTGTCACAGCGAGTCCCATCAGCAGAAGGTGGACTGCATAAGTCCTGAGGTCCCTCCGATTTGGTTCTTAGATTCTTCTCTGTGAACTACTTTAGGGCTGGGTTCAGGGGGCTCACACAGGGGTAGTGTGTGACTTCACAGCATCTAGGCCACTTGCTTTTAGCAGCAACCTGCTACCCCACCCTCATTATGCCCCCCCACTTTAAGCTTGCTCACCTTCCAGCCCAGCCAGCCTTAGGCCAGAGCTGTTCCACCAGCGCACAAGGATGTGTGACTCCTCACCACCCACTCCAACCTCAGCCCCGTACTTTGGCCTTCTCTTAAACTGCCCCAAACTGAGAGTAGTACAAAGAGAAGCAACATGTGAAGTGCAATAGAAACATACCTGTGGATATTGTTTCAGGGAAAACAAGTCTCTTAGATTGGCAGAGTCCAGGGATGGGGCCTTACTCAGAAGGAAGAGAATCCAGGCAGGAGCATCTGAAATCTCGAATATATGGGTGTGTGTGTGTGTGTGTGTGTGTCTGTGTGTGTGTCTGTGTGGTAACAGACACGCATAAGTGTGTGTAAGGACAGCAGGAGTTGGTATCAACACCAGGAATTTTCCCTTGTACTGTCTCGCTGTGGCCTCACCGCAGTTTCTGGGTCAGGACAGAAAGATGGAAGGTGTATTTGAGACCAAAGAGCATCTCCCAGAGTGACATACTGATTGGTGGGTTCTCCTGGGATGCAGGAGTTGGGAGGCAAAAGGACTCGGAAGTCTCCTCCTCCTGGTATCCCCCCTGATCTCAGGCAACCCCTCACCAAACACTGAAGAATCCTTATTGTCACTGCTCACGGCTTGCCCTTCCCTGCAAGGAGAAGGAGCTCCAAAGGAGCCAGATTTTCTCCAGAGAAGCAGTAGATACAAGTAAAGTTGAATGATGAAGAGGGAGACACAGAGGGGTCTTTTGGGGGGAAACAAAACATTTCAGGGACAGGGATTCTCCAGGTCCTTTTTAAAAATTATTTTAGGGGCGCCTGGGTGGCTCAGTCGTTAAGCGTCTGCCTTCAGCTCGGGTCCTGGGATCGAGCCCCGCATCAGGCTCCCTGCTCGGCGGGAAGCCTGCTTATCTCTCTCCCACTTCCCCTGCTTGTGTTCCCTCTCTCACTGTGTCTCTCTCTCTGTTAAATAAATAAAATCTTTAAAAAAAATAAAAATAAAAATTATTTTAATCCCAGTATAGTTAGCAGTGTTATATTAGTTTCTGGTGTACAATATAGTGATTCAGTAATTCCATACATCACCCAGTGCTCATCATCTCTAGGGACTTTGATGGCAAAACGTAGGATCCTTGGAGACAGAAAAGGAAGCTCTGAACTTGTATCTTGCATAAAAACAGATTTCTTAGGCATCATATTAGCTTCAAATATAGTAGGAAGGGTATAAAGGAGGGTAGTTCTGTTAGCTCCCGAAGTTCACTACCACCTCTTCTGAGCAGGGGGGGTCTGAGCAGTAATAAAATGGGAGAGCAGAAGAAATAAGAAATGAGGACAGTTGGATACCCCAATTCAGACCAAGCAGGATGAAACTCAGCTGCTTCTTCCAATATGATCAAGTTACTGTTCCAGTGTTAATGGCAGCATAAAGAGAAGGGAAAAGGAAAAGAAATTCTTAAGGCAAAAGAGTGGAGCTGACAGATTAATAGCAGGGATTGGGAGGAGCCTTCCATTTATAGAAATGAAAACAGACATTTAGGAAAATATCCTCCATTAGGGGGGCTCCAGGGATGAGAGTGTGGCTGGGGAAAGCCCTGGATAATTCTTCCTCCAATGCATCCCCATGCCCTGGCCATATTTTGAGAACTTAGAAATGGACAAACGTCAGGCAAGGTGTTTCCATTTCCTCAGCAGAGACCCTGCACAGCCCATCCGACTTGCAGGGCTTCCTTGGTCTTTTCACTCTCCTGCTAAAATGTCAAAGCCTTCGCAGTCTTGGCTTCTAGTATTTGTGACTGCAGGCATTTCCACTTGCGGCCAAGACTCACTCTCTTCTCTGAGTCTGACAACTTGAGTCGCCCTGAGCCAAGCATCTGGTCCTTCGAAGATTCCCATTCTCTGGGCCTTCTCTGGGTCTACTTCCCTGAGTAATCAGGCAGCTTCCTCTTGCCCCCCACAAATGGGGTCTCCCTCCAATATACTGCATCCTCTCATCCACTTGATGAGAATGACTCCCAGCTGTGTGTTTCTAATTGAACTTTTGTCCTGAACTCAGTCTGGGAGTGCCTTCCTCCCTCAGTCTTCCTCATAAGTATCTAGCACCACTATTCACTGTCTGACGCAATCCAACTGCAAAGCCCTACTTGTCCTCTCTCTCAAATATATTGTTGACCTACACACATCTGTCTTTCCATCTCCATGGCCACAAAGTCCAAAGTCACCCTCATACCACCAGAGCCCTCTGGTGTCCTCATGTGTCTCTGTGGTTCCCTTCCCGCCCTCCTACAACCTGTTCTTCATAGAAGCCTTCTACAAATCCATTCACAGACAGATGCTGAGTCCATTCTCCACCTTGTTTACCACCGTATCCCCATCACCCTCAACAGTGCCCAGAACATTAGAAGGTGCTCAACAAATAATTAAGAAGTAACTGCTGGATGTCTATATATCTAGATTTCTCACCCATGCTTAAATCATAATAGGTCCAAAGCTAAAACATTTTCTCCCTGTTTCAACTCTTAAATATTTCCATTTTCTAGCCACCTAGACATGAAACCTCAGGAGTCTTTTACTCCTGACACATGCATTCAATGTTATTAAATCATGAAAGATTTTACTTCCACAATTTTTTTCTCACATCCATATCCTTCCTTTCAATTATCACTGCCTCCACTTACCAACTAATCATAACAGTGTCCTAATTGAGCCTTCTGTGTGTATTCTAAAGCACCAGTTTCTAAGCTGCAGCTCATTAAAAAAACCTTTTCTTTTAAATGGAGAACACCTCACCCTGGCATTCAAGGCTCTTCAAACCTCATCTTCCATCTTATTCCTACACATCCCTAAGTTCTAATCAAATAGGACTATTCATTGTTCATCTGGACAGGTTTGATCCTTCGCCTCCCCCCATGGCTTTTCATTCCCAATTATAAGTGTCAGGCACATAACAGCTCAATAAACTTTGTGAAAAACCTTCTTGTTGAAATCCTGCTCATCCTAAATGGTTCATCTTAAACGCCACTTTCTTCATGAAGATTTCCTTAGCTGCTTTCATCCAGAGGTCTTTTTTTCCCTCTCTTCTTCCTAGTCCTTATGGCACTTCAACCTTCCACTGCCGTGTATCATGTCATTCGTAAATCTCTCAGTTCTCTGCTGGGCTGAAGGCGGCAACAATGGCTCTTCCTTTGCCTTTGTATCTGCTGTTGTATGGAACAGGATGCCCTGCGCATGGCAGATAGCCAATCAATGTTTGTTTACTTAAACTTCTGTAATTCAACTCTGGGATTCCACTTTTTACTTCTCTACAGATTCTTTCCTTGTTAAAGAAAAAAGAATTATTCCCCCATTATCAGATTTGTCAGATCCCAATTATTTAATGCTGATGGCTGAGTGAATGAGACCCAGAACAAATGTCTCTCCCCAAACTGCCAAAAGAAATGTCAAACTAGTTCTTGCTTTTATAGCCTTCAATCAAGGAGCAAAAGCATATGGTCAGGGGTTAAAAAAATAAGAAAGGTTTACAAAAATAACAAAATATCTGACCTAACGCAAATGCTGAGCTTTGCACAGAGAGGAGCAGGTACTCTTTGGAGTAGGTCATTAGGCCACAGCACCTGGGATTCCTCTGTAAAAACAAAGTACATCCAGGACCACCTTTATTCTCAGGGGTGTGGGCAGAGGAAGGAATACAACCACCCAGAGTGCCTACTATTATGCATTATTATTGTTGTTGTTATATTAGGTTCAGATTCAGGAGATCAGTCTCCTGAGGTATTTGTAAAATGAAATAGCAGATCATGTTGCTGGGGTAGGGGGACAGTGCTAAGATGTGTCCCAAGGGCTTTGCTAGGCTCTATCTGAGTAAGGCTGAGGGAGAGGAGTCCTGTGAGTTTTACCATGGATTTGGGGGGAGGGGGGACTGGCACAATCAACTCTGACATCTGAGGGAGGAGGAGGCATTTCCAAAGGAGCCACTGGAAACAGAACTTTAGGCGAGGGGCCTCCCAGCTTCTCTATCTCCTGCCCTCAAAAGACTGCCCCACTAGCTACCCAGGAGAACCACCTAGGTGTTCCTTTCCATTTTCAGACTGACCTTTCTAACTCCAATCTCAAAGGTCCCTCTTCACTTCTTCCCATGCAACCCAAAGGATGTGTAGTCTAGGAAGGCACAGACTACT